GTTGCTTGGGGGTCCTGTCAGTGCGGATGCCTCTTTCTGTGGTGAGCTTGTTTCGCAGAGGGTGTCGAAGACCATTGTGCTCATGGATGCTGTTGCTAAGCTTGAGGATCCCCAATGTGAGTTATTACTTCTTCGTGCGTGTACTGGAGTTTCAAAACTCTACTTTTCTATGCGCACTTGTCCTCCTCGTCTTTTTGAAGCGGCCCAGATTTCTTTTGATGTGGCCCTTCGAGGTTCTGTGGAGCGCATTGTAACTGCTTCGGGGCCAGGTTTTGGTGATTGGCAATGGCGCCTTGCCACCTTACCTTTTTCTTATGGAGGACTGGGTGTCTATTCAGCGGGTGATGTTCGACACTATGCTTTCCTTGCGTCGCGTTTGCAGTCTTCTGGTCTACAGGCTTCGCTTCTTCGCAATTCTGGTATTATTGGTCCAGGTCCGGCCTTCGACGACGCTCTTAGTCTTTTTAATAGGACTGTGGAGACTGACCTTTTGCGTTACCCTGGTGAGATCGCTGCCCCCAAACTCATGAAGAAATTGGCAGATATATATTTCACGAAGGTCACTACATCTGCAGAATCCACTTTCTCCTTGTCTCCGCGTCAGGTTGCCTTATGGAAGTCCCAGCAGGGGGATTACTCTTCTGCCTGGTTGCGAGCGGTCCCGATATCAGGTCTGGGTCAGACTATGAATGGTAAGACTTACCGTTGTGTTCTTTGCTACCGGTTGGGTGTTCCCTTGTTCTCCGTATCGGCACCTTGTTCTGCTTGCTCAAGAGTTTTTGATGGGGATATTTATGGGGATCATGCAGTGTCTTGTGCTGGGATGGTGGGTATTAAACATCGGCATAACGTTGTTCGTGATACCCTTGTTGATATTTGTTTCCGCTCTGGGATTTCTGCAAGGAAGGAGGTCAACGTTGGGTTAACTGGAGGGAACGACGGGGCTCTTCGGCCAGCAGATGTGTTGCTTAACTCCTGGGATAGAGGCCTAGATGTATGTGTTGACTTGACGGGGTCTTCTCCATTGACTCAATCTGGGTTGTCTGACTTCGTTCCTGGTCGTGTTATGTCGGTTGCGGCTCAGCGGAAGCGAGACAAGTATGGGGCGCGTTGCAGGGCTATTGGCTATGGTTTTCTTCCTTTCTCCTTTTCTTCATTGGGGGAATTAGAGAAGGATGCTGTTGCGTTGCTGAAGCGGGTTCAGGCGTTCGCTAGGACTCAGGATATTGGAGCTCGTGCGGCTGCTCACATCTTTAACAGGATTGGGTTCGCTATAGCTAGAGGGGTGGGGGCCCAGATTGTATCTCGGCTCCCCACTAATTTCTTGTAAATCTTTTGACTTTGTAGGTTTTTGTTATTTAATAATAATTCTAATAATAATAATAATAATAATAATAATAATAATAATAATAATAATAATAATAATAGTTGATTGAAGTAATACCTATAAATAATAGAAGTAGGTAGTATAAGGGTGGAATAGAAACAGTTTTAAAAAACAAAGAATCAAAAACTGAAATCATTTTTTAGTTTTTAAAAAACAAAAAACCGAATATAAAAAACAATGCCAAACGAACTCTAAAATCATAATGTTAATTTTGAATCATAGCAAAAAAAATTGGAAAAATAAACAATCTCATTGATGAATCAATGATTAATGTGCCATAGTTTAACACTGCATTGCTTACATATACTACATCCGTTTCTTAATTTTCCTTGACAATTACTATTTGCACAAGCATTGTAAAAGGAAGAAAGAAAGTGGAAAAATGAAGTTGCAACTGAATAACCGATAAAAGTAAGCATGTGGGCATAAGTGTATTTTGACTACTGCTAGTAGTTCACACTTAATTAAGAGAAAATGGTATGTAATCACGTGGCTCTTGTTAGGTTTATCTTAACAAATGCTTTCACTTTCCATATTTACTTATGATGTTTAAGGATGTTAATGTTTCAAGCTCTAAATTGAAAAGCTTGAAAGTGAAAAATAAAATAAAATAGTAAGTGCTCGTAAGAAGGAAAAAAAAAGTATCTACATTCGACTTCTAGATTGAGGTGCTATTTGGTTAGAGGTAAATAGCATGGGAAATTCTATTTCCTAGGAAATGGAAAAATCATGTAATGTTTGGTTGACACAAATTTATCAAAGTGGAGGAAATGGAAATTCTAAGCCTATGAAACATGGGAAATAACTTACCAAGCCCCTTTGGTAAGTCACAATTCCTATATTATTGTGGGGTCTACTTGCATTATTATCACCAATATTTTAATCTCTTTCTCTATCTCTCCAAATTTGTTAACTTAAATAAAAATTATCGAGTTAACTAATAGAACATAGGAAATAAATTCCTAGGAAATCAAAGTTCCTATATTATCAACCAAACAACTTAGATGTTGGGTTGGAGGTAAAAAGCTGGGAAATTCTATTTCCTAGGAAATGGATAGAGCATGTGTTGTTTGGTTGACACAAATTTATCAAAGTGGGGGAAATGGAAATTCCAAGGGAATTTTCAATTCAGGAAACATGGAATTCACTTACCAAGCCCCTCCTTGGTAAGTCACAATTTCCATGATCATTGTGGGGCCTACTTGCATTATTATCACTAATAATTTAATCTTTCTTTCTCTCTCCAAGTTTGTTACCCTAAATAAAAAATTATCAAATTAACTAATAAAACATAGGAAATAAATTCCTAGGAAATCAAAGTTCCTACATTATCAACCAAACAAACTTAAGGTAATTCCTAGGAAATGGACAAGGGAAATTACTTCCCATGAAGTATAATTTCCTATGGGAACTCATTTCTCATGTCAACCGAACAACACCTAAGTTAATTCCTAGAAAATGGACAAGGGAAATTACTTCCCATAAATTCCCATGAAATATAATTTCTTATGGGAACTCATTTCCCATGTCAACCAAACAATACCTAAATATAATTATTTAATTTTGGGAAATAATGTACAAGTATTTATCTAGCAGCAGCATGCTTACTTTAATTTGCACCAATCAAGGACTTGCTTGTTTATAGAGGTAATAAAAATCGAACCGGATCGAGCCTTTATACAAAATTTTGTACCTAAATTCGTAAAATAGTACTACCTCCGGTTCGTATTATATGCAATTTTGGAATTTTTTATATCTCACAAATAATACACTACAGTTGCATATAATACAAACCACAGGTAGTAAAAATCTCATCGGATCAAACCGGCCTTTTCAGACTTTTTGTGCTGGGCTTAGGTTTTGAACTAAATTGATGTAGAAATGTAGATTGGTTTAGTGGACATGCCAGATAATTTAAATAGGTGGCGAACCCTAGGTGAAACATTTTATTTAAAAAAAAATGGTGACAAATCAATCATTCATCAAAAGTCACTATTTGTTCCCTCCAAGAATTTTCCTTTTCCAAGCCCCATCCTACATTAACATATTGCAAATTTGCAATTGAAATTAACGTATAGCAAGTGTTTTCAGTATAGGTCCACGTGCAAAACTTTCAATTTTTTTTTTCTCTATTTTTTACTTAACTGTAACAATGAATACCTTTAATTATTGATAAATTTCATCAAATAAAATTTAAGGGCAAATAAAATCTGTCATTAGAAAAAGTATTATTAGAAGTTTATCTTAATTTTGCTCTGTATATCTGCCACGCCCACACTTCTTTCTAAAGCTTTAAGCCTTTCTTTTTTATAAAAGATAAAACCAAACGTACCATTTTAGATGTACTTCGACATCATATATTTAGATGTAAACTCACATTATCTTTTATACGTTTCCTTATACCGCATATGAAGTACATGAGAATTCATAAAAGTCTGAATTTAACATTACTTTTTTTTTTTTTTTTTTTTCACACAAATGTAACATTACTCTTGAATATACAAAGTAATTTAAAAATTACGATTTTTTTTTATTAGAGCTATTATATACTTGTACTCCTATAATTTTAGCACATCAACATGTATAACTCTGTAATTATTAATATAGTAATAAAATTTTCGCTTGTTGTTTCCTAGACAGAATAATGCATGTGTATGTCTTATCCCCAAGCATTAAGAGTTAAGAAAATAAAGTAGATGCATCTGTTCGATGTAAAATAACATTTGTTTACTCAACCTAAGCTTACCGGATTTGTAGCCGATTGAGGATTCAAGATTCAACTATGGGCAGATTAGTTAATTTATATATAAGCAAAATCCATATAATATAAATTAATATTATATAAGTAGTATTTGTCGAGTTTGTTCCTTGAAAAAATATTGTATATATTTAGTAAGGTTTATTAGAAACCACGATCCATACTTAATTCTACAACAACAAAGCGACAAAATACTAAGACAATTAAGAACAAACCAAGTCACCAACTTTATTTATTTCTTATCATTTTTGAATAATATCTAACCTGTTTATTATCACGATTGTATGTTCCTAAAAATGAAACTATTCATTATTTCCTCAACACTTCGTATAAAATTTAATCCATGTAGCAAAGTAGCCTACTTGCTATATTATGGTTTTAAAGTCTAACGTAAAATGGAAAATAAATTTAGAGATTAATCCAAGAGAAGATTTTAGGTGATCATGGAATCAATTCTCATCACTTGCCTTTGTGGATCTCTAAAAACTAAAAAAAAAAAAAAAAATTTTTTGAAAGAAATAAGGTACCATAATTATGAACGTTATAAAATATATATTAATAACCTTAACATAATCCCAACTTTAAATCCAACAAAATGAGAAATCTACTAAAGATAAAATTAAATTCCAAATATTGTAACACGACTTAATCTTTTTACAGAGTAGCCATTATAAGTCAATCCAATAAAAATCCCATCAAATAATCATCTATTAAATTAGGATTCAATTTATCATAAATCGTCTTACATAAAATAATCCATATAAACCCTTATAAAATGATTAATATGTAAATAATGTAATATAATGTGATAATCCAGAACCAACTCCGACTCGAAAAACCTCAACAAGGGGTCCATTTTCTTTATCCCATGATCCCATCTAACAAACTACATTTAACTAACATCATGAAATATACGGAGTAGATAATATTTTTCAACGAACATTACCTCCCTTCTCGTGGTTGACATAAATACCCCTACTCATCCACCTTCAAAACTCTACTTTAGCCGGCTATTTGGACTCAAACTTTATTTTTTTATTTTTTTCTTTCTTTTTTTGTTCCTTTTATAATATTAAAAAAAAACTCTAAAATAAAATTCAAATTCAATATTTCTTCCTTTAACAATGAAAACTTAAAAATCATCTCTTTCTTTTCTCTCTCTTCTTCCTTCATTAATATACTTTTATGGGACAAACCATCAATGAAGCCACCGGAAAAATGACACAACTTTGCCGGAAAATCGTCCGAGTTAACATTAAATGGCCGGAAATTCTTGACCGAGTTGGCGTACTCCGGCGATTTTTCCGGTTCATTTGGAACAGAATTATTGTTTGTTCTTGTTGTAATAGTAACTTTAAACCGCCGTCAACGGCAAATTACCGACGGCTTGACCGGCCAAACTCGCCGGAAAACGCTGTTGAGTTTGAAGTAGCTGATTTACGAAGTGGGTATGAGAGTGATTCTGTTGAGCCTTTTGGTTTTGATGGACAAATTGACAAACTCGACTAATGAATGTTTTGAGTCTTTGGTGAATAAAGGATTCAAGCAAAGTTCGTTCCGGAGTAGGAACTTGGATGCGGAGTAGCATTCTTTAAAAAGCCTCGTGCAAATCTCACGTTCTAGTTTTAATTGTGAGCACTCAATAATATAAAGTCGGAAAGGAACTCAATGACTTATGTTAAAGACTACTGGAATAAAAGTTAGTTTTAAAAGATAATTTCTTAAAGAAAAGATAATTTGTAAAAGTTTTAATAAATTTCGATAATTATCTAGTTGTTTTAATAAATAATAAATTTATCTTTTCAAATAAAATCTTTTTAAACAAACTTTTGATAATCTTTTAAATAAATATTTGATAAAGTTAGCAAGTGGTTTTTCTGTGAGAAAATCTTTTATACGGCTAATGGTTATCAAGTTGTTAGGATAGTGGTTTAATTAGATAAGGCTAGGAAACCTCTTCATGATCACAATCTGTCAAGATAACTCCACAAGTTGTTAGTGGGTTGTTGACATGTGGACGTGATTATGGTGGAGGTTAATGACTAAGCCTTCTCTATAAATACTCATGCAAACTATCTCAGTAAAACACAACTCTTAAGCATAAAAATTCCAGTAGCCATCTAATAACATAAAGAGAGTTATTTTCCTTCATATATTCTTGAGTGCAATAGGTATTTGTAATCACATATTGTATTCAAGTACTTTGGGGTTGGGATTGTGAGTTTGTAAGGTGAGGTTAAGGAAGCTTCGTTGCTGAAGTCTTCTGTGAGAGTTGGGAACAAGTTCCTAATTTGGGGAACTTGTTAACGGGTTTGAATCTTCACTTGTACAGAGTTTGATTACATAGTGGAAATTTAGAAAAGCCTATATCTTCTCTCGTCATTATTTCATTTAGTTAAATTCCGCAAAAAGTTTTTAGATTTCACCTCAAATACAATTCACCCCCCCTCTTGTATTAGCCAGTTAGACTTTCAGTTGGTATCAGAGCGGGAACTCAGAACACGCAGGCAACCCTGTTGAGTAAGTTCCTGGAAAATGGCTTACACAGAGGAAAAGGAATTCGGGAGTACATCCATTCAAAGGCCTCCATACTTCAATGGCAAATTTTATCCTTATTGGAAGGATAAGATGGAAATCTTTATCCAAGCAGAGAATTATCAGGTATGGCGGATTTTACAAGTAGGAGATTACGAAATTACGAAAACAAATGCTAATAATGAGGTAATCCCTAAACCTATGGATGAGTATGAAAAAACTGATTTTGAAAAACTTGAAATGAATGCTACTGCCAAAAAATTTTTAATTTGGGGACTTGGACCCGATGAACATACTCGTGTCAAAGGGTGCAAGTCCGCAAAGGAAATTTGGGATCTTCTGGAAGTTACACATGAAGGAACGTCAGATGTTAAACGTTCCAAAATAGACATTCTTTTGTCTCAGTATGAGCGCTTTGAAATGGGAAACAAAGAATCCATTAAAGACATGTTTACTCGATTTAAAAGTATTACTAACGAACTAACGTGTCTTGGCAAGATAATTCCTATAGATGAGCAGGTCAGAAAAGTCTTAAGAAGTCTTCCAGACAATGACAGATGGAGAGCAAAGGTTGCAGCGGTGCAGGAATCAAAAGACTTCACCAAGTTCAATCTGGAACAACTTGCGGGTTCCCTCATTACTCACGAGATCCAGTCGAACAATCGGACTCAGGAGACTGTCAAAAGTCAAGGGCTAGCATTAAGAGCTAATGAAGAATCCGAAGAGAAGTCTGACATCGATGAAGAAGAAGCTGCAATGTTGGTGAGAAGGCTGGAAAAATTCTACCGTAACAACAAGTTTTTAGACAAGAAGAAAGGATACAGTAAAAGAAATCAGGAACCCAAAGCCAAGTCTTCTTGTCACAAATGTGGAAGCACCAACCACTTCATCAAAGAGTGTCCATTATGGGAATCTGAGAAAGGCAAGGGAAAAGAAGCTGATCAAAGCAGAAATTCCAAGCCTAACTTTTCTAAAACAAATTTCAGGAAAGCAATGATTTCCACGTGGGGAGAATCAAGTTCCGAAGAAGAGGAACAGGAACACACAGACGATGAAGTAGCCAATCTCTGTCTAATGGAAAAGCATGATGATGAGGTAGTCATTCAACCTAGTTATTTGAAATCTCTCTCAAAGGATAAATTAATCTCTTTATTGTTAGAAACCTTAGATGAATATAAAGAATTATGTGCAAAACTAAGGCAAGCCGAAAAGGCAACTGGAATTTGTAGAGATCATGTTAAGTATCTGAATAGCTTAAGAAATGATGTTCAAGGCAGATTCTTTGAATTGTTAGATAAAAATATTATGCTAAAAGAATCCCTTGAAAGAGTCAAGAGTGAGAATATCATGCTGAATATTGAATTGACTCAATATAAAATGTTGTGTACTAACATTGATTCTTGCAGGTCTACTGAAGTTCCTTTAATCATGTTTAATAATGAACTAGAGCATGTTAAGAAAGAGATAAAGGAAACCAATGATAAAAATGAGAAACTAGAAAAGGACCTAGAAATTGCAAGAAAAAGTAAAAATACAGCAAGCACGGGTGTTCCCAAGTGGGTAAAGGAAGCTCAGACAAAAAGAACAGAAGGTCTAGGCTATGTTCATAAGAAGAAGTCCACTGGAAAGAAAAAGAAATATGTGAACTTACCTAGTGAGACCGTTTGTTCTTTTTGTGGTAAAAAGGAACATCGCAGTGAAGAATGTACTAAGAAAGCAAATCTGTACAATAAGAATGTGAATTATGTTTGGCAGAAGAAATCTGATTTAAATGTGTCAACACAGGAACCCATGAATGAAAGGGTTCCTACTACTAACTCTTAATTTCTTTTGCAGGTCGAAGTGAGGGGGAACAACCAGTGGTACCTCGATAGCGGTTGTTCTAAGCACATGACAGGAGATGAATCCAGATTTCTCTCACTGACGGCCTATACAGGGGGAACAGTGACCTTTGGAGACAATAAGAAAGGCAACATTGTTGCTGTTGGCAAAGTAGGAAGGTCAAGTTCCCATGCAATTGACAATGTATTTTTAGTCGAGGGTTTGAAGCATAATCTACTCAGTATTTCTCAGTTTTGTGATAAAGGAAACTTTGTAAGCTTTTCTTCTGAAAAATGCAAAATCATCAACAATAACACTGGTAAAATCGTTTTGGAAGGAACTCGTAAAGGGAACACATATACCGTGGACCTTAACAAAGTTCCAAAATACAATCTATCTTGTTTAAGTGTTATTGAGGATGATCCACTTCTATGGCATAAACGTTTTGGACATGCTAGTCTTTCATTGCTTGACAAATTAAGGTCAAAGGACTTGGTAATCGGATTACCTTCTATCAAATTCCTAAATGACAAAATTTGTGAAGCCTGCATCAAAGGAAAGCATGTTCGATCATCATTTAAATCAAAGAAAATGGTAAGCACCACAAAACCATTGGAACTCATTCATATGGATTTGTGTGGCCCCGTTAGAATTCAAAGTAGAAGTGGAAAAAGATATGTCTTAGTTCTTGTGGATGATTATTCTAGATTTACATGGGTCATATTCTTACATAGTAAAGATGAAACTTTTGATATGTTTATGACTTTCTTGAAAAAGACACAAAAATCAATAGGTAATCAACTTATTCATATGAGAACTGACCATGGTACGGAATTCGAAAATTCCAAGTTTGATGAATTTTGCAGAGAACAGGGAATAAGTCACAATTTCTCAGCGCCAAGAACACCACAACAAAATGGTGTGGTTGAGAGGAAGAACCGAACATTGGAAGACATGGCAAGAACAATGCTAATAGCAAGTGGGCTTCCAAGAAATTTTTGGGCAGAAGCCGTCAACACAGCATGCTATATCGTCAACCGAGCCATGCTCAGACCAATGTTGGACAAGACACCTTATGAACTGTTAAAAGGGAGAAAACCTAATATTGCTCATTTAAGAGCTTTTGGATGCAAATGTTTTGTTCACAATAATGATAAAAGAAATCTTGGAAAATTTGATGAAAGGAGTGATGAAGCAGTCTTTTTAGGATATGCATCTAATAGTAAAGCTTATAGAGTTTACAATAAGAGGACTATGTGTGTAGAAGAAAGTATACATGTGATTTTTGATGAAACTAATAATTATGGTTGTATACAGGAATATGAAGATGGAGATTTTGAAATTGGTCTCACTCGTTCAACAGACCAAGATGAAGAATTAATTCCCAGAAAGCAGCATGTTCGAATTACTGAAAATACTAATAAGGAACCTACTGAAGTTCCAAATAATACTGAAGCCTCTGATCAAAATACAGAAGAAACAGAAAATACAGAAGGCGAAGCAAATGCAGAAGCAGAACACCATGAAGAAATGGAAGAAAGAGCAACTCAAAATAACACTTTTATACCAGCTCAATCATTCCAACCAAAGCCATGGAAACATCAAAGGTCACACCCCCTGGATAAAATTATAAGTGACCTAAGCAAGGGAACTCAGACGAGATCCCAACTGAGAAACTTCTGTGCATTCAACGCCTTCTTATCAACACTGGAACCTCGAAATCACAAAGAAGCCTTGGAAGATGCTGATTGGATTGTTGCCATGCAAGAGGAATTAAATGAATTCGAAAGAAACAAAGTGTGGCACCTTGAACCCAAACCAACAAATCAAAAGGTTATTGGTCTCAAATGGGTATACAGGAATAAGCTAGATGAACATGGCACAATTGTAAGGAACAAGGCAAGATTAGTTGTTAAAGGCTACAATCAGCAGGAAGGTATCGATTTTGAGGAGACTTTTGCTCCTGTAGCTAGATTAGAAGCAATTCGTATTTTAATTGCATTTGCTGCATTTATGGGTTTTAAACTTTATCAAATGGACGTCAAATGTGCTTTTTTAAATGGTTTTTTAAAGGAAGACGTCTATGTTGAACAACCACCTGGA